AAAAAAAGAATGAACTTCTAATTTAAGCAGTTTGAAAGAAGTAGAAACACACAAACAGTATTTTTCACACCACACACAAAAGCTGAAATAACATTAAAACTATGACCTATTAAAAACTAAGAAAATTAGCACGAATAGATACGAATAGACAGAAAAAATATCATGGATAAACACACATCCTAGCTTGGATAACACAGATAATGATAGAAAAGTTAATAGAATCATCAAACCAGGTCCATATAGTAGAAGACGTACCACACCATCTGTAAAATCTATGACAGAACACTACCATGGAAAGAATCTGCAACAGTAACAAATCTGTAGATGACTAAATTAGCCCAACAATACAAAAACCATGTGAAAATTGTAAAAAATAAAATAATTGTAGATGGTATGTTAAGCTAAGACAGTATAAGCTATATCAATACAACCACAAACAACAAACTTGCAACCAACTCAAGAGGAGACATACCACCTGGATTACACTGACATCGATAGTGTACACACTAAATGTATGTTATATTTGTAACCATTATTCATGAACAAAACAAAGACAACAGTACAAAAAGATTCAGGACAATAAGTTAACATTACCAAAAACTAAGATATACCACACTTAATCCCTTGTTTTTTACCATTATTCAGTAAATTTGAAGCAGCGATCCAACCACATCAAAAAACAAGTCAATGCACTGTTTGTGTTGTAAAAGGACATAATTAATATAATTAGTGGACTCAAATAAGTGGAGAAACAGCAGAAGTTTTAGTAAAGAGGTCCTGATAAACAGTGTTTTAAACACAGAGATGTGAAGAGAAGATGATATTATTGAAATATTACACAAGAGAAAGAGAAATGAACTGGTTCAGGATAAAATGCAATGATATCCAAAACTTTTCCAAGCAATGGGAAATCATGAATGTGAATAAATAGAAGTGCATAAAAAAACAATAACAACAGTATTGTATAAAAATATACTACTATCAGTACACATAAAAAATCCAACATACAAGGTGTTAAAAATGGGAAGAAGGAATAACTCAGGATGTAACAGGACCCTCATCTTGTAATTATACCCAAGAAAAAACTGAGGAAGTGAGAGTAAATTTGGACAGAAGCAATATAGAGAACAAATCACCTTATTTCAACCATAAAACAATTAAAACAGGAGATGAATGGAGCCACAAAATTTAGTAAACTAGACAGGAACAGTGGATACATGTGGTATGAATTTATGCCAGGATCACAGTATATCACAACATTCCTAACAGAAAATGGGTTAGAGAGAGAAAGAAATTTTTTAAACTCAATATGGGGAAATTGTTAACCAACTAAGTTTTGAATAACCAAATAAGAACAGAGTTGACTGACATACTACAAAAAAAGACATAATGGAATTATATTGCATAGTATAGATGATGAACATAAGGCACTGGAAGCTATATTATAAAGACGGAAGGGTAAAGGCACCTCATTTGGCTTATACATGTGAAACTTTAACGTGTCCAGCACATACAACTTTTTCAGCTAAAGGCATGGAACTAGGGAAGGTAAAATAGAAGCACTACTTAAGGTGCCAGATTTCAAAGGTGTAAAAGTAATAAGATTTTTATGGAATGATTGGACAACTTATAGATAGATATTCAATTATAACAGTACCACTAAGAAAATAGACAAAAGAAGATACTAAGTTAAACTGGACTATGGAATGTCAGAATGCTGTTCAAGAACTTAAGAAAAGAGCCACTAATGATCCAGTTGTTACATACTTCTATCCAGATAAACATATAAAGCTCACAGTCAATGGAGCAATAACAAATTAAAACTGGGGCAGTATTACCACAGTAGAAAAGATCTGGAGGTCTGACAATTAGAAAAGTAGAGCATTAATGGATGCTGAGGCAAGATATTCACAGATCGAGGTGGAGAGCCTATTCATACACTTTTGGCAATAAAGCAAGTTAACCTTTCTTAAGAGGATCACCACACTAAAGCACAAACAACTGATAACTATGTGCATGAATAAAAAAAAAACGATAAACCATGCAAGTACCTAATGCAATAGGATTAGATACTAAGAATTCAACAAAACAGTGAAAAATGAACTATGCAAGATAATATTGCTGATTTTTTTATCCAGCCACCAACAAACAGCTAATAAACAAGAAGATGGTATGCTGTAAGCCACCATGGACACTGATAGACAAAACTTACTAAAAAACTACTCATGATGACCATCAAGGCATAAGCAAAATCAAAGCCTTCTCAAGACAGGCAGTGTTGTTGCACGTTTAGGTAAGGCAGTTGAAAAACAAGTTAAAGATTGCTTGATATGCCAAGCATGCACCAAGGGAATAGTTAGAGTACCTTTACTGATGTTAGAAGCTCATAAGAGAGTTTAGGATGATTTATTGAAGGATTTCTTTGGGCTCTTGCCAAATGAAGAGTACATCATGGTGCTTGTGAATAATCTATCAGTATTCCCTGAAGATCAGTAGCTGCAGAAACAGTCTAAATAACCTAGATAAAACATTTTACAAGTTGGGAAAGCCTGCAATACTTAAGATAGACAATAACTATCATTTCAAAGTCAAACATCCACAAATTATGAAAAATGGATGAGTTTTATACAGCAGAAAATTACTGTATGAATTACTGTATTAGCATGAAAGTTTGCACAAATTATTCACAAAGAACTCTATAACCCTGGAAAGTTACAGAGCAACACTAAATCCCAGAACAAGATAATAACCAGCATCTTTTATGTTTCTAACCAGAATATTGTGAACTTGTATTCTACCAGTACAGCAGAAAGTGGAGTATATATATAAATATGCACACACATGGAAAAGGAATAGGTAGAAAAAGAACAGGACAAAGGTAGGATGAAACAGTGAAACAGCATGCAGAAAACAGTCATTGCGTTACAAACAGGGACATTCAACTTGGTGTTATAAGTACTGGTCAAACAAACAAAATGAACCAATTTATCACACCACACAACATCAACCCATATCACGTGGTGAAGCGTAAAAGAATCAAGATTAATGCAAAACATGGTAAAGGCTTCTTACAAGAAATAATGTGACAAGAAATAGTTAACAGAAATAGACAACAGTTAAAGAAAATATATCACACAGCTATTTTCCAGAAAAAAAGACCTGAATGAAAACTGGACAATACATGAGGATGTAAACCTCAGAAAAGAAGGACCAGTTATTATTATTATTTGTAGAAAGAGAGGGGTGAGGAGAAACAAACTGGTAAGGACCAGAAGAATGCCACAGCATTACAAAGATCTTACACTATAGTAAACTTTAAAGATTATATACTTACAATATGTCATTAATTTAAATGAGTCTTGATTCATTATATGAATTAGATATTGGACTAGTTTAATTCACTTAGTAATTATTTACCTAAGCCATGTAAAGTTAGATTAATCTGTCCTTTTTTTAAGTGTTGTAGACTTATGTAATACATGTCAGAAAATAAATGAAGTTCAAATGTGAAACAATATGGAACATGTGTGTCTTTGGAATATTTTAAATATAAATAGCCAAAATGGGAATATAATACGTATCATCACAATAAATTCAGCACAACCACAACAGACTCCTCACCCCGACACATTTATGCCATCAAAATTTACCACAGTAACTTCAACATAACTACAAAGACAAACCAGAACTAGAACCCCCTGATGCATTTGTACCATCATAATATATCGTACTAAATCCAGCATAACCATAGATCAGATGATGATCTTTGCAAGTGCATTGAAATATCATCCTTCAGCCTAATTCTCTAGGTAGGTTATTCATAAGAAAACTGTCTTCAAGTTGGATATCACTCTTATGTAAAATCCAGTAGCTTAACACATAAAGGTTTCAAAGATACTATTAAACATCAGTTCTCACAAGTAATGTTTTCTGTTTACAGTGGTACTGCCAATTACAGGTGGTAAATTACACTAGTAAGTATCAGTACTTACAATTTCAATGTAGATAGAGCTAGGAATACACTATTTTCAAGTTTTGAAATTGGGATGTTTAGATGTCTTACTTTGCCAGTTGTTTTGAATAACAAATAATGTAAACACAAGTTAAATAAATTATATTAATAATAAACAATATGGTGTTAAATAAATAATTTGATATTAATAAAAACTATAAACCTATTTCCGATGCGTAATGATTTAAACATAATTGATAACACTTACAGTTCACTAACTTAACCCAATGTGCACTGAGTCAGTCCATTGGAATTGGAGAAGAAATATTGACTATAATTCCATATTTACTAAGTGTATTTATATTAAATGTGGCAAACTTTCAGTAAAACATAAAAGTCTGTTGTACAGAAATTACTTAGGTATTTGTACTCAAGATATGTCTGACAATTGATAATGGCAGGCTGACTCAGACCCTGACAAGTCATAGTGCAAGGTAATATTCAGTTGTAGGATAAACATATTTTTCTCCATCGTATAGTTTTAATTATCTCCAGGACCTTCAAAAGGAAAACCTACAGTTTTTATCAGTATCTCTGTATATTTTATGTTATTTACTCTCCTCTACCTAAAACTGTAGGAAAATCAGCATTGTACAGTAAAATTAATATTTGATAATTCTGACTTCAAATACATTATACCATGTTGAACAGCAATCTGTAAAAGCCCATGGTTTGCACACTTGGACCTCCACATGTGAGCATAGGGTTAATATAGTTTACACCAAAACAGTTGTTGTTCAAGTAGCTGATGACACAAGTTTCTCCATCACTATGTCTGTTGCATCGGAGCTGACCTGATGAGCCCTAGTATTGGGCAAAAGAGGACTTGTCAGCACCGGAAATAGCAGATACAGAGTGGTTGACATATTAATACATTCTTCCTTATTTTCATGTTTTTATGATTAGGTTAAGTGTTCTTACATATAATTCACTGTATTATTTGTTGTTGGTCATTGTTAGAATGATAACTATACACTCCATCATGCAGGAACCAAGGTTCTCTCAGTTCTTCTCAACTGATGTGCCAACAGCAGTTATTAACAGGTATGTTAGCTTAAGTGTCTGAACGTATATAACTACTAAAATTTAGCTATTTAAACATTGATAAAAAAAATCTCATTCTGTTCTCTTATTTAGACATTTAGTTTAAATATCCATAACAAATTTTGTTGACTAACATTTCAATAGAAACAAGTAGCAGAATAGGCATTTCATTTATTCAAACTACCATATTAATTTCTGAAGATTAAAGTCACTCATTCAGTAATTTAATTCAAACTGCATGTGTGTGTGGGGGTGGGGGTGTAGCTTTTACTTCATGTACAAAATATTTTTTTTGTTTTGGTATTTTAAAACACAAAGTTTATAAAATATAAAGCAAACGTTGTGTATTTAAAGTAATTAAAAATATTAGGTAACCTCCCTAGACTACTCATGTATGAGGTTAGGTATGTAGAATTCTGAACAAATCTGATGGCCATGTACAGTGCCTCATTGACTGTGGGGTTAAACATAGGTGAGTTACTCTTTTCTTACGACATGCTATTACCACCAAATTCCTATTGTTCAAAAGCCACTTTAAGCCAAATGGTGTGATTAAAAATAATAGGTAGGCAAACAATAATTTATAAGCATAAGGAAAAGTTTGTATTGATGGTGGAACATAATACATGTTTTGTCAGAAGGTTGGTCTGTCTTCTTCAGGTATAATCAGTACTAAGCAATACACACAGGGATTAAATGTGATGTGGTGTCAGCAGGAAATAGGATATAGGTAAAGGTCAAGTCTGATCAAGTGTATGAACAGTGAATAGACCTTGCCAAATACAGTTCATGTTGCTTGAGCCATTATCATGGTTTAGTGATAGATTATTTGCTTTGATTATTTTTCTAGTTTAAATATCCATAACAAATTTAAACAGTCTCTTTCCTTTTTAGTTTTGGGTTGTTGTAGGAGAAAAGTTTCACCCCAAAGTATTTTATGGCCTGATTTAAATGGATGGCATGTTTAAAGAAGGTATATGGAACTCATCTTTATGATTGTGACCTTGGTGTTCTTTACATCTTATTTCCAAAGAACGTGACCTTTAACCTATGTAGTTATTCACGCATTTGCATGGGATACTATATATGTGTCTAGTTTTGTTTCTTTAGTAGGAGTTCTTTCGGGTTAGGTCACATGCATAGAGGTGAATTCCAGATACCTGCCTTAACATATCATCAGTATGAAACAGGTAATAAAATACTTTGGGATGAAATTCTTCTCCTACACCAAGCCAAAACTAAAATTGAAACAGAATGTTTAGAAACTAGAGCAATCATCAAAGCATCTGATCTCTCACTAAACTGTGATAATGGCCCTAGCAACATCAGCCATATTAGGCAAGGTTTATTCACTGTTCATACACTTGACCTCTACCTACATCCTATCATCTGCTAACACCATTTCTGTCACATTTAATTCCTGTGTCTTTTTCTTTGTAACAATATATAAACCATGTATTGCTTAGTACTGATCATACTTGAAGAAGATAGACCAACATTCTGTCGAAATACTTAGTATGTTCTACGATCAATAAAACTTTTCCTTATGCTTATAAATCATTGTTTGCCTACCTATTATTACATTAGTGTAATGTTCTTCCTTATTCAAGTGTGATTAAAATGACAAACCGACTGACTTATCTAACAAGAGACACCTGATTTGGCAATGCTTTCAAAACCAGGGTGTTGGGGTCAAATATTAAAACTTAATAGGGTTAAAATACCAATATTCTAAGTGTCTATAAACAAGTGAGAAAATTCTCACACAAAACCTTATAACATAAACACTGCTGTCTAAGATGGGGCTCTGAGGGATGACAGATCCATTCCTCAAATTCCTTTCCCTTTACAATGCATAGTACTATCTACAATCACCCCTCTCTTATGCATACAGCAATGTTGTTTGTACTTCCCTACTCCTAATTTCATTTCTGCATAGTTTAATGAAGTTTAAAATGCTTCCCATGAATGCATATTACTCTTTTAATTATGTACATATTAACTGTTTCAGTGAGTGAATATGCACTTAAACTGTTCATAAATTTTGCAGTTGAATACAATAATTATATGTTAAATTGTTAAACTTTATTTAACACACAAAAAAACTTTCATCATGGCAAATATGTTCTTACTATTTCCAAAATAATAAACCTTTGTTCATGTAACAACATTCATCTTTGACAGAAAAGTATAATAAGTGTATTTCAGGAACGAATTATTATTCAGAGAGATGTGAAAAACTGACAACATTTGAGGCATCACTGGAAATGTACTGAGATGCCTTTTACATAGTTTCATGTGTTCTTTAGAGCTACTGATTGTCACATAGGTAGGCATCAATCACTTAAGCAGGCCTACACCTTTAGCCTTAGAATATGATTTCTGAATCATTATTTATTTAGTTTTACCACTACCTTCATAATATCTAGTTAAGTTGACAAAACTAACCTAGATTCTTTTGCTAAAAAAAATCCATAATAAGAAAACAAAATTAGGTAGTACTAGTTATTTAAAAACATTTTCACCATAAATTAACTGACAAAACTTATAAAAATGTTGATCCATGCTAACTTAATAGATAAGACCAATTAATTAAGGCAGTGAAAATACACTTTATTATGATTATGAAAAGTTTATTCTTCACAGGATCTGCTCATTCTCTTAAGAGTGGCCAAACTGAAGGGAACCAAATAAGGGTAGGTCCATGCATAATTGAAAATGTGTATTTTGTAAAATAAAAAAGTTAATAAATACTAGAAGTTAAGAAAATAGTTAAAAGTATACATCAGTACAAATTTGGACTGGTACATGTTAATATGATTGTTTACCTGGTTTGCAGTGAAATTTTGCCACAGGTACAACATATGTTTAGTTTCTGTATATTTGGTTCACAGCAAAATTCCTGACTATTTGTTAATGCAATGTCAACACTGGCATACTTGAAGAAGGATATTCAAACAGCAAGACTGTTAATTGATCTAGAAGCAAAGGGTATAATGTTTTGAAAAGGGGAGCCTTTGACATTTTTCACTGCAGATAAAAATTCACATATGAATTTCAAACATCCACAGGCTCCAAAATGACACCCCAAACAATGCTCTCAACTGCATAGAAAATATTACAATCATCCAACCAAAACATTTGCAATTTAGCAAATGTTTTGGAAACTGCAACTTTCAAGAAGATTTGGTATCATTAAAGGATAAATACATGACCAAATAAGGTTAAAGAAGCATTGAATGCCATTAAGTAAAGCCAAAAAAAAAAAAAAAAAGTTTGGAAGAAATCAGTGTGACATACTTGAATTAATTGGAAGTACATTCCAGACTGTAACCAGATAATAGAACTAGCGAATCACCTAGTAATAAGTAACGGATATTTATGAAACTACAGATGGATCTAGCATATAAGAAATGTTGCATGGCTGTAGGAGTTCTGCATTATAGAAAATTAAGGAATTCCCCCACATGAAGCAATAAGTGGACGGATATACAAAAGGAACATATGCCAGCCAGACAAGAAGCAGCTTGGTTCTTACACAGAAGTTAAAAGAGTTCCTATGAGTGTACCAGTGAATCACTATGAAGAAATAAGCATATCATATTAAGAAAGCCTATCAGCATCTCAATTATTGTTATAGCCGAGATAACAGATAACCAAATCAACCAATCAGGAGCCTTGAATCACGCGACAGTTATGATTTCAAAATGAATTGTGATAGAACCTTCTAAAATGGTGCAAGCATACAATTTAATGAATATAAAAGCCATGATTTTTTTTTTGCCAATAATTGGTCTTCTTCCAGACATCACTCCTGAGTAGATGTTTCAGACCTTCAACCTTCTACTATGGTGGTATTGCAATTGATTGAGAATACTTGTTAATGCAGACATTGGAGAGTTTAATAAATTAGCACGAGATTGTAGAAGAAAAGAGTTTTGAAATTGATTATAATGTGACTTTCTGAATGTGTTCAATTAAATGTCTTGTGTTACCTAGTCTCTGAATGAATGGCTTTACTCTGAACATAAATCTCGAGTTGGTGACCTGTGAATGCATAACCTGGAATTAAATAAATTCGACTCATAATTTGTGTTAAGACGAACCCAAACAACTGCCACAAAAATACCCATTACATAACCAAAAAAGCCATTGTGGTGAAGACTGAAGCAATATATTTCCTGGTGTTGTTAATAAATAAAGATTTTAAGTTGATGAAGGGTACAAGCCACATCTTGAAAATTAGTGGCTGTTTTTCTCAGAAATATGACCAAAGAAATTGGAATCACATCAATCCCTTCCCATCAAACTACATACTGTTAAATTCGTTGACACAGCTCCAAAGGACATTGTGCCTTTGGTCAGTTTAATTATTTTCTTAGAAGCTGCCCACATATTGCGAACAATCTATTAAAAGTTTGTAAAGATATATATGGTCTAAGACTGACCTTCGCAGTACTTTGTTCTAATGGACACATTAGGTAATAATGCATAATTATGACCATCAGCCTAAATAGGGAAGAAAACTGTTCAAAAAGAATTGTAAAGATCTTTCTTATATAAAGTACAATTGATCAACTGTACTTCCTATGTCAAAATAGAATTACATTTCTTACACACCATTTTTTGGAAAGAGTGCCTTTAAGTGGTTATACATCCTGCTTTTAATTTCTTCATACAAAAGTTTCAAAAAAATGTGAAGCCATTCAATAAGGAGAAACAAGTTACAATGCATCAGCTGAATATTGTCTAAATAGTCCAAGAAATGCCATCCTTCAATGATAAATTCAATGTTGATGTGCTAAACCACAAAAAAATTCCAAATGGATTTAAAAAACAAAAAATTAATCAGTTAAGAAGAAAAAATTTGTTCTGCAAATAAAATGAGACCAAAATTGGAATTTTTACTTTCATTAGATATTTTCCTGTCATATTTCTTTAAATTTTCCTGTTGAACATGTGGCTTCTATTAAAAACTTTAAGTTAATTTGATTGATGTAACTCCTTGGAAGATTATTAATGTTTTAAATTTTTACAAATAAAAATTCATTATTATTATAGAAGGTGCATGAAAATGATGTGCCTTATTACAAGCCAGTAATAGTTATAAACTTGTAATTTTTTTGTGGATGAAGGGCACATGTATGTAGTTTTCCTGCCACACACCATTTGCCATCAGAACACCTCTACATGTTATCCACTTGTAATTATAAAGATATCAGACCAATGTTCAATTTCCATCCTTATGTTTACCAGCATACTGGGCATCACAGTAGCTACTGAATTGGTGATCCATTCAGATAGTGTTCCCACATCACTCACCCTTTTTCTGTGTATATTGTCCTTCACAACTCTAGAGGAGTGATATCTGATGACCATGCTGGCTGGGGTATCAGCCCATCATGACTTCTTTCTTGTGCAACACATTCCCTAACTCGTGAAACTATCAGTATCACTTCTTTATATAATTTTTAACTGGTGGACCTTTTCCATACACTCTATGATATTGTCTTTGCACTAGAGTAGGCAATTTCATCTCTGCTAACCATGATACACATAGCCTTCTCTATTGCCATGTCTAATGAATTTTTTGGTGACTGTACATACATAATTACATTTATTATGACAACAAACATATGCCCTTCTTCCAAGGAGCATCATTTCACAAAAGGCTTGGGCTGGCGGGCAAAGAAGCCTGACCTCATGTGAGCACCACAATTCAGCTGGAATGTAATTTGAGTATGTTTTAATAAAGCATGATTAGAAATGTCTCACAAAAACTACGATTTAGGGATTCTTTCCAAGCTTGAGGAAAGCAGCTGCCCCAAATCCCCATCCAAAATAACATCCCTGTTTCACCCACCACAAATTGTAAATTTATAACTGTTACTGTCTAGTCATGGTTTAAGCTTGTAATATATCACATAACTTTTGAACATCTAATATTTTAATGCTTTCTTATTTTATTTTGATCAGCTATGTTGAAACTTACAGCTAACGTTTCAAGTTTTTCTATTACATTATTTTCACTTTATTATTAGTTTACTGAACCACTGTTCCTTTTTGTGCACTGTATTTTAGTCAGCTATACTTCAGGTATTACTGTAAAACAATTATGCTCTTCCGAAATAGCCAACATAGTGAATCATTGAGCAAATAGTTATTCTCTGGAGATGTGTAATATTTTTATCCCTGTATTGTGTACAAATTTATAAATTCTCAATATACATTAAATTCACTATAATCTAGAACAATTCACATTAATAGTTTGTATCTTTTAAAAGTAATAAGAAGTTCTGAAAACCTACAGTACAAGTAGAAATTCATCATTTACATCTACATATATGTGCTATCTTGGAAATGTAACTGTTGAAAGTAATTTTCTTATACTGAAAACGTGTTTCCAATAGGTACTCTCTGTAGGCAAACGTTTTTTATAACACATGTCACAAGCCTTCTGCACCCCCCCCCCCTATTGGAATAAAAGATTCCAACATATCTATCATGCAAATCATCATGCACCATCTCTCCACCAATAGGAGAGCACTATGCATGAGACTCTCTCTATGCTCCACTACCGTACCATCACTTTGAAGTTTGGCAGATGTAAGCACCAGAAGATTGTGGGGAGGAGGGTGGGAAGTGTGAGAGGAGGGAAGTACCTATCAGAAATACATTTTCAGTATAGGAAAATTATAACTTGTGATATGGCACTACCCTCTTCTCACAATTAGCTAGAATCTCACATTGAAAAGGAGGAGGCCCGGTGCAAGGGGAAGAACAGACGAACCTGCCAAAAGCATCTGAAGGATACTTTTGTAGATGAGAGACACAGATCAGATGATCTGAGGAGAGGCACTGCACCACTTCTGAAACAGGTATCTCCTTGCCATGAACAGATAGGAACAAACATGGTGGAAGAGGAAGGGAGCACATCCAAGTGGGAGAGGATAAGTCAGGAAAGTGATCCCAACCAGATAAATAAAGAAACTCAATCCCACAGAAGTAAAGTGGGTAATGTAGGATGCATCTCGAAGTGTAGAATGGCTAGGGCGCAGCGGATCGTACTAGATAAGTCAACTACATCCAAAACCTCCTCGCTGGGTATCAATATCTGTGCAAGGGTAGGATGAGGATTATACCGGCTTCACCTGAAGCCCTAAAATCATGGATATGAGGAAAACACAGACTCCAGACCATGACATAGGATTAGCAGTGAGCCAAGGATCCAGGAATATGTCATCTGGTATCAGAGGGAAGTTCATCACATGCAATCAACTCCCACGACCATGAGACTGGTTAGAAATGTCCAAAGGTCAATAACATCTCCATTGCAAGAGAGAATGAGGGAGTGCCCAGGACAGGAACAGAAACATCCCACTACACAGAAGGAAGAATGGAGGGAGGAAGATGGACAACCCCAAATCTGTGTGAGGATTTAAGTTGATTGGTTCACTTGATATCCAAAACAAGCTCACGGGGTACTGACATCTGCGAGAGGGTAAGATGAGGGCACCCAATTGAAGGGGTGAACTACATTTAGCCGTCTCACACCATGGTACGTGTCACTCAATCTGGAGGATGGTACGCCTTTTACAGTGGCAGAACACCACCACCATACTCTGAATTGAATGGATATAGCCATCTATGTGGAACCCATCAAGCAGGATGCCTCCATGGTCAACCACCCCAGCAG